AGAATGGCCTACATTTTTTTTTCCCTAGTTCTCCCTCTCCCACTCCCCCTGCTTGTGTTCCCTCTCTCGCTGTGTCTCTCTCTGTCAAATAAATAAATAAAATCTTAAAAAAAAATAAATAAAAAATGCCACAGTAAACAAACCCACTGTTTCCCCTTTGTCTCCAGGGCTGAATCCATTCTGCATCCCTGGAAATAAGATTTGGCCATAAAAGTTAGGATAGAGGCCCAAATAAGGGGGCTGGGGAAAGGGGTGTAGGCTGACCAACGAGGATGACAAAAGTCAGGGTTGAACCCATTGCTACCGAAAATCATACAAGTGAACGTACTGAATACACCACTGAAGGGGCACAGAGGATGTGTCCCTTCAGGAGCTACGTGCACTAACTGCAGCTTTTCCTGCTCAAGCAGTAGTACCCCGACTTCTCCACATCTCACTCAACATTCGTTTAGCTGCTGATGGGGCTGTTATGAGAGACACCCTAACCAATCAACAGAAAAAAAAGAAAAACCTCACTTCACAACTTAAACCTCACTTAGACGGTCAAAAAGTTTAAAGAGCTGGCCAATGGTCCTTGTAACTCAAAAAGATAAAAATAAGTAGCTGTGGGATACCAGGGCACAGGGGAGGTAGGGTCTGAAAATCAAACTGAGGAGAGCAATACTCCCACTTACCACTCACTGCTGTTCTCTAGGGAAGTGCCAACCAATGCTGCCAAAATTTGTAATAACAAGAAAAACAGCCAACATTTTTAAGCGCTTATTATACGCCAGACACTTTCTATGTCTCTCCGTTTCCTCAAAATCATCCTAAAGCAAAGGTAGTATTATTTTTCTCTTTTCCCAAAAGAAGCAAAGTAATTTCATGAAGGTTTTACAACTAGTAAGTGGCTAAGCTGGGATTTGAACCCCAACACTTTGGGTTCCTAGCCATTTAGCTATTCCGACTACTGTCTCTAACATATAGGTAGAGCTTCATTGTGAACCCTCCCGAATGGGACTATGGACTTCCCACAGTTGGGAAGACCAACTAGCCTCCAAGTTTCTATCCTGGAGAGACATCAGGGGATCAAGAGTCTGGGCTGGTTTCTGCCATTCATTTGTGAAGTGATCCTAGGTAGGCTGTATCTTTCTGCATCTCAGTTTTCCCAATTATCTAAAGAGTATAATCTCTACCCCTTTCTTAAATGCTCAACTATTTCGGGAGAAATATGCTTTGACATAAGGGGATGCTGGCCTGGGGTGTGGAAGGGTGTGATATGGCAAGTGACTAAATTTGCCTGATCAGGAAATGATCTGTGTTAGGTTCGCTGGGAGAACACAGTAAGTCGTGTTTTGTTCCTCACTTCCTTCTTACTTAGGCTACTCTGGGATGGGAACTGAGAATCTGGATACTACTCATTCCTCTCAGTTTTATCCTTTAAATTCAGACACACTCCCAGATGCACCTCAGTTATAATGAAAAATCTTGAGGTTATGTTGAAACATGCATCTCACCAGACTAGCCGTGGGATTGATTTTCTTTGTCTCCACTTTCTTCTCTGATGTCAGCTTGCTGACTGATTCCTGAGCCATTTTTAATCTGAAATCGAAACAGGGAGTGGGGAGGGGAGAGGAGCAGGAGGGAGAGAGAGAGAGAGAGGAAGAGACAGAGAGAGAGAGAGAGGGAGAGAGAGAGAGAGAGAGACTAGGTTAAACAGTATCCAAATGCTTTTGAATTAACCAACTGGCAGTTTGGAAATAAGGAATGGGTTCTCAGTGCCTTTAAAGGATCAAATTTGAACTCTAATCAGATGTGAAGGCATGTTTTCTAGATGATCAAAACTGAATTTCCTTCGCTGGCCGAGGGGCTCACCTAGACGACCCCAGGTGACCAATGCAGGAGCTTCTTCGGATCTACGGAATGCTAGGTGCACTCACTTTACTCTCAGTGAACACTTCAAGGCTCTCTGGCTTGTGATCCACTCAGTAAATATAGAGACAATTTTGAAAACTGAAGTTTTGAGGAAACATATGAAAACTACAAATATTAAAATATACCAATTCATGTCAATAAAGTAAAAAGGCAACCCACAAGATGGGAGACAATCTTTGTAAATCATATATCCAATATGGGACTTGTATTCAGAATATATGAAGAACTCTCATAACTCAAATAAAAAGACAAACTGCCCAGTGAAAAAACAGGCCAAAGATGACATACAGAAGACTAATAAGCCTATGAAAAGATGCTCAACATCATTAGTCATCAGGGCAATACTAATCAAAGCCACAAGATAACACTGCATAGGATGGCTGGAATTAAAAAGAAAGATAGTAACAAGTAGGTACAGAGGTGGATGAAATTGGAGCCCTCATACATTGCTGAAGGGATTATAAAATGGTGTAGTCACTTTGGCAGTGTCTCAAAATGTTAAGCATAGTTATGATATGACCCAGCAATTCCACAGCTAGGTATATAAATATATAGGCATATCCAAGAAAATGAGAATATATGTTCATACAAAAATTTTCATATGAATGTTTATAGCAACAATATTCATAATTGCCAAGAGAAGAAACAACAGAAATGGATAAACAAAATGTGGTTTGTCCACACAGTGGAATATTACTGGGCCACGAAAAAGAATGAAATGCTGATACACGCTACAGCATGGAAGAACCTCGAAAATCCACATATCATATGATTGCATTTATAGGAAATGTTGAGAATAGGCAAATCTACAGAGATTGAAACCGGATGAACAACCAGAGGTTGGGGTGGGGGACAGGAGGGACTGACTGCTAATGGGTAAAGGGGTTTCTCCTAGAATTAGGTAGTGGTGATGGTGGCACATCCTGGTGAATATACTAAAAACCACCAAATTGCACACTTTAAATGGGCAAACTTTACAGTATATGAATTATAGCATCATATTTGCACATCCAATAGTTAGACAATATCAACTCTCATTGAGGACATGGGGAAATGGGAAGCGCCAAACAGTTCATTAGGGAGGAGTGTAGATTGGCAGAGCTGGCTTGGCAATATCAGGTGAAACTGAGAACATGCACACCCTATGAGCCATCAGTTCCTTCTAGGGAGAGAACAAGAAGAAACCTACGTATGTAGACACAGGGCTTTCTCTGGGGCAATATATGCAATAATGACAAATTGGAAACAACCTAATGATTATGATCCTTAGAAAGACAGATAGATGATAATAGCAAATAATACCAGCTAACATTTATTGGGTGCTTACTCAGTGCCAGGTACCGTTCTATCTGCTTTATTTGAATTCAACCATTTAATTCTCACCTGGCCTGGTGAGATGGAAATTTTCGATATTGCTATTTTATAGGTCCTAACTACCTTACAATGCTGCTTATATACTATGCTCATTTAATGGAATATGGTATAACTGTGAAAAGGAATGAACTAGATTTACAAACTCAACAATTACAGATATCAGAAACATGGTACTGAGAGAGTGAAGAATTCTGTACAGTGATACACTGAGGAGGCCATCTAGCATGATGGTCAAGAGCTTGGGCTCCACCATTAATGGTGGGATTAATTGTTGGCCAGGCTGTGTGACCCTGGGCAAGTAACCTCTAATAATAATAGTGCTGCTCCATAGAGTCATTGAAAGGACTGAGACTATCTCTACTGCAGCTCCAGGCACAGCGTAATCACTCACTATATAGGTTTCCTACTGTTGTTACTGTGTATGTGGTACATATACAAACAGTATTCACAAAACAATATTGTTCATGGACGCGTGCATGTGCGTATAAACACACATACAAACACCTACCTATATTTATATAGAGACTGGAAAGATACTCACTAGTTTTGCGATAGAGCTTATCACTAGAAAAAATGGAAGAAGAGATGGCATTGGGTCAAACAGAATTTCACTTTTATCTATAATACTTTGTTTTTTTTTATAAAATATTGAATATATAGCAAAATGTTAACAGTTAATTCTAAGTGGTGGGAATATGGATGTGTTATCCTTTGTATGTTTCTTTATTTTCAAATTTTTTTCAAAAATACTTTTTAAATATTAAATAAAGATCTAGCAACCCAGACATTTAGAGAAAACGAACATGCTTTTGCTTCAGGATCTCAAATGAAAATCTTTTGCTCAATATCAATCACATACTTGCTTAATATCAAAGAAGTAGCTGAGTGCCTTACTTCTTCACTTAGCTAATTTTACACAATTTACTTAAAATCCATGTTTAGTAATCCAATCTCCCTGCCCACATGCACAAGTAAGTTACAACGAATTCAACGTGCTGACTTGCGTATCAGAAACAAAATAAAAATGAGACAAAGATGAGTAATGATTTATATAACCTAAGAAATACATCTTCAGAGCTGCCTGGAGAATGGGCGCTTCTCAACACTGACATAGGTCTGAGAGGATACACCACTGAATGTTTCTAAACGTTTCTGTTTGCAGCAATCACTATGACTATACCCACACAAGAAGAGAATGCACCCAAAGGATCAAATCCAGGTCAGACTACATCGGACCCTCTGACTATTAAGGGATCTGCAAACCAAGATGATGGTGCTGTGGATGAGGTCACAGTTTGTAGAATTGTCTCTTCTTGGCTTCTCTCTAGCAAGATGTGTTTTCAAAGAGCACATTTTATCAGTGACTGTTTAATCCCAATTCCAGTGAAATGGTTTGGAGTTACTATTGCCCCCCAGGCCTCCTTACTTTTAGGGAGGTTTTGGTGGGGGTCATCTTTTGCTTTAGTAGTTCCTTTCCCCCTGAGGATTCTGGTCTCTTGTTTCAGAGTTGGTCTTGGACCATGCTCCTGCTCAGCACTGCCTTTCCCCAATTCCCACATCCCTCGGCAGCCCTGGAGCCACTCTCCATATTCTCAGCACGTCAGAGTGATGCCAGTGGTTGGGGATGTGGAGACAGAGGGGAGGGGAGCCAACCTAAGGTCTTGTCCCCACAGCAAACATTTTGCTACTGGTCAGTGATGGCTCTGAAGACTACAGGCAGTCACATACACACCCCAGACTTGCCAGGACACCTCTGATCCCAGTGACTCCACCCTACTCTTCCCCAAACATTCTCCTTCCATTTTATTATCTCCCTTTCACAGGGCGCTCTTAGAAGTAACAACAGGGTGGGGACAACGCACAGCTTGGTGGCACTGAACTTCGGCATCGGCGAGACTTGATTCTACCTCTCGCCAGCTATTAGAAGACTTGGAGCAACTTAATCAACATTTCTAAATTGCAGTTTTCTTATCTATAAAATGGAGGTTAATGTCAACCACACGGTATTACTGCGAAGATTAAATGAATTAATATATGCAAAACAGTTAGTATACCAGGTGTATAGCAAGTGGTCAATAAGGGATAACCGTTACGGAATCTTTCAACACAGAGGTAAAGGAATTTCTTTAGAATGCATGACAAGAGTTTCTGACTACAAATGAAGTAAGTGGCGCTATTAGCAAAGTACTATCTTGCAGGAATATCATTAAGATGTATCCTGAAAGCAAACCAAAGAATTCATTTTAACTTTTCAGACCTGAACACAGATTCTTAAAGTCGTATCTAGGGATGCCTGGGTGGCTCAGTCAGTTAAGTGTCTGCCTTCGGCTCAGGTCATGATCCCAGGGTCCTGGGATCTAGTCCTACACTGGGCTCCTTGCTCAGCAGGGATCCTGCTTCTCCCTCTGCCTGCCACTCTCCCTTCTTGTACTCTCTTTCTCTTTAAAAAATAAAAAAAATTAAAAGCCATTATCTAGAAGCTGAACTGTGGTGTAGGTATGGCAAAAATTTCTCAACCAAATAAAATAAGAGAAGCTACAGGCATACCTTGGAGATATTGTGGGTTTAGTTCCAGACCACTGCAATAAAGCCAGTATTGTAATAGAGTCAAATCAATTTTTTGGTTTCACAGTGCATATAAAAGTTATATTTACACTATACTTTCGCCTACTGAGTGATAACATTATGTCTAAAAAATGTACATACCTTAATTAAAAAATACGTTATTGCTAAAACATGCTAACCGTTATCTGAGCTTTCAGAGAGTTGGAATCTTTGTGCCGGTGGAGGGTGTTGCCTTGATGTTGATGGCCACTGAGGGTTGGGATGGCTGTGTCAATTTCTTAAAATAAGACAACAGTAAAGCTTGGCAAATCAGTTGACTCTTCCTTTCACAAATAGTTTCTCACCAGCATGAGCTGCTGTTTGATAGCATTTTACCCACAGTAGAATTTCTTCCAAAATTAAAGTCAATCCTCCCAAACCCTGCTGCTGCTTTATCAACTAAGGTTATGTAATTTTCTAAATCCTTAGTTGTCATTTCATCAATCTTCACATAATTTTCTCCAAAAGTAGATTCCATCTCAAAAAACACTTTCTTTGCTCATCAGTAAGAAGCAACTCCTCTATTAAAACTTCATCATAAGATTGCGGCAATTCAGTGACATCTTCAGGCTCCACTTCTAATTCTTGTTCTCTTGCTTTTTCTACCATATCTGCACTTATTTCCTCCACTGAAGTCTTTTTTTTTTTTTTTTTTTTTAAAGATTTTATTTATTTGACAGAGAGAGACA